TTTGTGTTGTGTTGTGTGTGTCCCAGTGGGTGAGGTGGTGTTGTGATGTGGTTGATTTTGATTCGTGTTGCTGTAGCAGGGCTGTCCTGAGGCTGGCTGGTGTCAGTGAGCCTCCAGACCAGCTGGCTGAGGGGGCTCTTCTCTGGTGATGGTAGGAGTTGTGACACACTCCACCTGTGTCCTGGCTCAGACACACAGCCTCTTACCCGGCCTGGTCCTCACACACCTGTGTCCGGGACGTCTGTGGGCCTCATGATGCGTCGGATCTGCTCCATGGACTGCAGGTCTGGAGAGAGGCCTGGAGGGAGAGAGAGAGAGTCAGTCAAGAGAAAGGCCTGGAGAGGGAGATGCCAACAACACAACTAAACCAATGGGCATCAAAGTCTACCAAATCACACTACAAGTTAAACAACAATACCCTACCCTCTGGGACAAACACACAAATACAACACAGACTAGAATGCTACCAGACCAACAACAGAAAACACACTGAGTATCCGAACAGGGTGAGACACAACAAAGAGAAACAGAGATCATGTCAAGGTACAGACCCAGTGACCACAGCCTGGCCATAGAAACTGGGGACACAGGCAGACCTGGCTGCCCAGAGAGGACAGGCTGTGCTCCCACTGCCAGCGGGGAGAAATAGAGACAGAGGTGCACTTCCTACTGCACTGTGACAGATACTCTGGGATTAGAGAAACATTCTTCCCCAAATTAACACATCTAATCCCAGAATTCCCACATCTGCCAGAATCAAACAATGCTCCAAACCTACTGGGAAAGGAAATTCAATACAGTTGCAGCCCAGTGTGTGATCTCCTGTCTCAGACATTGATCATGGCAATACAGCTCTTGAATTTGAGGCAGTCAGTCCTCTCACTGCTCGCACAAGTTTACAAGAAGAGACCACAGCATGACGGGACAGGACGTTGGACACGACTGGACAGGAAGTAAGAGTCGTTCACGCACTAACCCCCATGACAGCAGAAGATCTTCTCATCGATGATGGCGGCAATGGGCAGGCAGTTGAAACAGTCTGTGAAGGTCTTCCACAGCTTGATGTTGAACCTGCGCTTGCCTAGGAGGCAGAGAGAGATGGACATTAACCTCCCACTTCAAAGGGTTAAAACTGTGTAACGGACTGGTACGGCCTCATTTATATACTGCGTACAATTTGGTCACCATGTTTTAGAAGAAATCTTACTGCTCTGAAATCAATCCAGACTTGAGCAACCAGATATAATCTGGGGCTTAAGGGACTGTCCTACACTGACAGACTGAAGGAACTGAGTCTCTTTAGTTTTGATGCATCATCCTTCTTGGAGAACAGGGCTGTCCACCTGACCAGGGTATCCTGGACAGAACATACACTACACTGGGCCCCCATTACTAAACCACTCAGCACACTGGGCACTACCTGCCTGAGGACTGGGGGTACCCTGTCCACACACTGCACACCCAGCTCCCTGTGCACCCTGCCACCAGACAGACGTGAGCTCCAGTTTCACGCCCCGTGACTCACACTCGTCATAGAAGCCGTAGATGCGGTTGATGGAGGCGCACTCGTGGTTGCCGCGCAGCAGGAAGAAGTTCTCAGGGTACTTGATCTTGTAGGCCAGCAGCAGGCAGATGGTCTCTAAGGACTGCTTGCCCCGGTCCACATAGTCGCCCAGGAACAGGTAGTTGGCCTCAGGGGGGAAGCCGCCGTACTCGAAGAGCCGCAGCAGGTCTGTGTACTGACCATGGATATCACCTGAGACAGAGAACACACAGAGCTGATCCATAACACAAAGAGAGCACACAGAACTGGTCAATACCACACACACAGAGAGCACATAGAAATGATCAATAACATAGAGAGAGAGATAGCACACAGAGCTGATCAATAATTCAGTGTGATCTCCTGTCCCAGTCTGAGGAACAGAGTGAGCCTGTCTCTCAATAATAACAATACAGTGTGTGATCTCCTGTCCCAGCCTGAGGAACAGACAGTGAGCCTGTCTCTCAATAATAATAATACAGTGTGTGATCTCCTGCCCCAGCCTG